TCGACTCAATCCATAAGCACATCAAGCTGAATCCAAAATTGCGCACACGCACAAATGCGTGCCCATTGTCTTGACCAATTGCAAATCAGTACAAGAATACTCAGAAAAGCTGCATCGGTTGGTGCGGCGGTTACACTTGCCGCATCCAACGAACCACGTGATGCACACGTGAGCGTGAAAACAACACATGAGCACATTCATTGTAGGATGAAGTGCGGACTAGCACGCGGCCTCTATGGGCGGTTGAGAAAGTACTGTACCTACCACCCACTCACTTATGCGGCATCAAGACACACAACAAAGAACTGCGGGGCCGGAGATATTCCATCCGCGTTCATCATGCTCACTATTGCGCATAGACGATCGGACATGAAATGTGCTCCACAAAGAGACAGTATCAATTGCCTTCACTGAAGTTAGCTGCATGTAATCTAGCAGACAGGTCGATGCGCCTCACCTAGTTTGACCTATGCTTAGCGGTGTCTACGTGTGGTCGATTGTGGATAATATTGCCTAGGTGAAATAATGCGTGCGGTGTGTCACAACGCGCTATCATGGAACAATGCGTTAGTAATCGGTGAGTGTGGCCGAGTTACCTATTAACTGCAGTTGATCGGCCTTAATGATGAAGTTAGCATCAGCATCTGCACAGCAATGCATGATGTACTGCAGTGAGCTTTGCGGAAGTGTACCGCGTAAATTGTGATAACGTTACCGGGTTGGCAACAGCTTGCATTTACTGGTCTATATGCAATCATTAGTAAAATGTAGCCGTTGACATGGTGAACGAATACGTTTATGAAGAAGTGTCATGAGTTCGTATGAAACGAAGATGCAACAATGATCTATGGTAACGTTAGCGTACTCCTCACCAAGGTGCCAAAATGCGACACAGTGGGTATGGTGAAACGCTGTTTGACCGAAGAGATTGACCTAGGGAGTGGCCGAAGCTTAAGGTGGTTGAAACAACCGACATTGCGCAGTATATTGTTTTAGCTCGGGTGTCAGTCGGAAGTAGGCACTCAAGCACATGGTATGATCATTAGATCGTCAATGTCCACTATTTTGTACATAATACTGGCAAACTCCAGTAAATGGTCTAAAGTTGTTGGTATCAAGTTGATGGCACATTTTGAAGATAAAAATGGATAAGAAAAGCGAGTTTTTGAAGAATCTGAAGTCGCTCACCATGGAGTTGCACATCGTCATTCCTTGACTGCTCTGTTTGTAAGAATGATTAGCTTCCACTATTATCTTCCGAACTTCTCAAGTGTATAAACTACGAAAACCTTGGTTTTACTTTATTTTAACCAAATCAAACGTAACCTTGCACCACTAGCTTTCTTCTAATATTGACAATGTCTCATGCAGCTGCTGCGATAACTTACTGACAGAAATGGAGGAAATTGAGAGCCATAAAACGGGAACTGCCGGAAAGGGCCTGATAACAACTTGTATAAGAAAAAAAGATAGTTTTACTAACCGACAAGTTTACATTTGCTATAGCCAAACGGCTGGGATGTTTGTTGAAACATGCATACCTAAAAACGGCACGAAAGGGAATGGAAGCTCTAAGTTGTACAGTCCCAGGCAAAATGCACACGCAGTTGTACGTGAGGTTATGCACACTTATGCCCACGCGGCGGATCAGCTGCTATGTAAGCGGACGTCACCAATGCAGTTGAAACGCAGCGAAAAACTCTAGTACGGATAAGGCTTCAAGCATACTTCTTATCTTTTGACACGTGATGCTGGTGCTTGGCGAACTACCACGGTACTTCTTTTTGGTTAGCAGCTGAAGTTGTAATAAAGGAACCTGGGAGAGAATGCGGATCATCACAACGCGGCAAACGTACGAGTGCTTTTGTTGCCCGTAGGTATACCTGATCACTTCCATCACGTGTGATCCCGAGGGTGAGGAAGGCATACTTGCCATAACCGTCACGTAGGCGAGGCGCCGCGTGCGTGAGTAGTGGATGTACCTAACGATCAATTGGAAGCACACAGTGGAAAAAAGGAAAACAAGAAGATTGTCGACTTACTAACACGGATGGCAGGTGAAATGCTCCTGCCCGCTGTACGACGCGCACAGCTGATGATACCAGAGGCCGCAGTCGGAGCACATGACTCAGTCAACTATCTGTCCACTCTTTGCCTTGAGGTCCGCTTGAATGCAGTAAGCGCCCTTGTCATTATCGTTATTTGCTAAGACTGCTGCATGGCAATCGGCAATTTCTTGGAGGATTATACACCCTGGCTGTGGTCGTGTGCAAATGTATAAGCGAAGTGGGTTGCCTTCTTCCTGCTGACCACTCAAAACATCTAGAATAGGCACTAGACGTTGCTTACGTCCCCTACCTTTTCTGATAAGTTCAGCAATCCATTCTGCTGCTTCATTTGTGGTACCAAGGGCAGCGTTCTCAATGTCATCCTGAGCTGGTTAGGTTGTGCAGCAACTCCTGCAATGGTTCCATCACCTCTGTATACTTTGAATTTCTAAGGCTACAAACCTGCAACAAACTATCACCCAAAACCTGACTGTGGTCGCGAAGCTTTTACTCCTTAGTTACTGGTGCCACTGTGGAAGTGGACGGCAGCGGGACGATGGCGGAGGACGTGGAGGCGGTTAAACGCAGACGTCGCACCTGCGACACAAGCCAGCGACTGTTGCGCAATATCGTGTCCACCGTTCGTCTAGCGGCGTGTAATGCGTACACTATGTGAGCACACGTACTTAACCATTGCCCACTGAAGCCGCATTGGCATATTACGTCCCCACGCATTGACACTCTTCATGGCCTTCGGCAACCCTGCACTTGCCATCCACTATTGGACAAGTTAGTCATCTTCACCTTTTCCTTTGTGTAGTGGCATCGCAAACGCATCCTAGCGTACCCTGAAAACTGAGAAGCAGCCTGTCCAGGGTTATCAAAGCAAGAATCCAATGCGTGCCTAGACAAGTTCGTTATGCCCATTAAACCTTGCCACTACGATTGGGCATCAAGCACGCGATGAACGACCACGATAACCAGATATAATAACCTTTCTTGCTGCGAATGACCACGCCTTAAATGAGTATTTTTCTTTTCCACCCGGTTTGTTGTATAGCAACCGAACAAACAGGTTGACCTCAGGCTGTGCGATGCCCATGATAAGACAAAGTGCAACCAAGTCCATAGCAAGTACGTGCACACCTCGTTGTTGCGCGCTTCAATGGCTGTCAAGTTCCTGTCGAGCAACGGAGAGCTTCTACCATAGATTAAGTTCCGCCCTCACTGCGTAATGAGCATCCTGGTCGTCGTAGTTTTGACGGATAACGTTTTACAGCCACGGGTCACATCCCGGAGTAGATGGAAACGACACAAAACTATGCGCGCAGTGGGTTACACGGATTATAAACCATGGACCTGCGCCATACACTTATCAGTCACCATTGTCTGTGCTGCTCCAGTCACTGGTAACATAAGACGCGTGTTACGCACAGTGTTCACGATTCCGTTCGCGATGCCGTTGTTTCATTCGGAAGTAAGGCGTAGAGATATGGACGTCCCCAACATGTACATCTACCAACAAACAGTGCTACAGTATGTAGCCACCGCAGTTTATCTGGTGTCATCCGCCAGCATTACCTCACTGTAAAGGTCCACGAGTTCAAGTACGTACCTCGGAACCAAAATTAGACACCCTATCTCTGATTCCTCGTACTCAACGTTACACTGACCGACGCTCTCAAGCAACTGCACCACAGTTTTCACTGACTTACCGTCCACCTTCCCCTCATCTTATGTCTTATGATCCGCAGGTCTTAACTGTTCGCTTAAACCATACTGCGTGCACGCATACTTCCTTAGCTTGCGTGTGTCCTTAAAGGACCATCATACGATAGACGTCCTCTTCCGCGTGCCGCGGTAGCCGTCTGTTGTTCACATAGAGAAACGGCTTGCCCACATGAAAGGTATGACTGTGCACAAGGCTGAAGGATACTAAATCGTTACACCAGCCGTTATGCCGTATGACAATCTTGGCCTCAGTCAACTTTTGTACCTACAGTTCAAAAGCATGTGTACTCTCTTCGCCAGCAGTGAACGCATCCATGGTGTACGGATCTCTACCGCACACGCACAGGCAGTTCCTTACTGACTCTCTTCCGATGCGCTTCAGATGTCTGTACATCTGATTTGAAAAAAAACATGATGCAGTTCGCATTTGAAAACGCTTTAAGTCACTTTCGAACTCCTCAAAGTTGCCGTACACATGATAAAGGAAGACAGCATGGAAAGTAGCGGTGTCGCCAACAACCATGACAGTGAAAGAATCCACCAACGCACTTCATGGTGAATTCAAGCTCTCATCCTACTCATGGAAACCCATATCAGCGTTGCAACCTATAGCCTTTTTCTTCACATTAATAGCTCTTATATCTCAAAGTATTCTTTACTTTTCCTTCACCAGGTCATAGTAGCGTGCTGTTCGCTACGGCATCCCAGTAGCCTGCTTATTATCGATCGTTGTGCAGTACGGTCCCCGACGACCCTGTGTGCTTTGCTTTCAGTGTTCCCCGAGCTACAGCGTCAACGGTGTCGTTCTTTTACAGCTAGACAAATGGGAACTTTTTGCTTTACGAGTAAAAGTTTTCCTGCAATCCGATCTGTCTTTTGGAATCACTCTCCGGCCTCCTGCTAGAGGGTATTCACAAAATTGGTGTCTGATCGCGGACGCATTTTAAAGCCGCATATTCTAAATTTTACTCCGGTGAAATCAATTCATTTATTTTGCATATTTTCCGTTTAACCGTTGCATACGGTAACATTTTCTGCAGTGATTTTTTAAACCACGGATTCTGTGGACCCTTAATTAGGGTCTCGTTAGCGTTGTATCTCTCTCTCTCCCGCCCTTTTCCAACATAGATCCTCTTTTGTGGTTCACTCATCTTAAGGCTGTTGACCACAGAATCACTACTGACTACGCTAAGTACAGCAAGTTTGTCCTATCTCCCCAAGGTGATACCAACGCACGTTCGAGACGTTATCATTTCTGAGACCGAAAACCAATATGAGGCTCTCATGGAGGCCAAGATTAGGCTAGTCATGCCTTCCGAGAAAGTTCGCCTGCAGCAGCGTTTCAAGGACCTGAATTTAGGCGACAAACTACCCTCAGCCCTTCTACAGAAGCTGCAAGAGCCGCTTGGTTCATCAATCCTGGATGATACTTTACTCCGCGAACTATGCCCACCACGGCTACCGGAAAACGTGTAAGTTATTTTTTGCTATCGTGAGATCCGTTTCGCTCACCTAATAAGCAGAATTAGCACATCGACTCATTGAACGATTGCAGCCCCATGCGGACGGCAGCTGGGTCAACGCTGTCGTCTCCCAGGGTACTTCTATCACTGACTTACAGTCAACCACAGAAGCCCTGCAAACACAGGTTTTGACACTCAGTCGCCAAGTTTAACAGCTCACCATGAGCCGTCGTCGCCACAGCGGAGAAAAACCGCCATCAAAACGCTCCAAGACCAGCTTTAGGCAGATTTGCTGTTAGTACTACCACCGCTTTGATACCGCAGCTCGTGTGTCAAGCCTTACAGCTTCTCCGAGAACCAGGGAAACTTCTCGGCCGGCCTGTAACGGCGACGGACGCGACCGGCCAACACCAGTCGCCTCATCCGCGTTAGGGATTTAACTTCCTGTACCGAGTTCCTAGTCGACACTGGAGCCGAAGTTAACGTTATTCCCCATAGCTCATATGAGGTGGTCTCACCCTCGCCGACCTAGCTGCATGCCGCCAGTGGCACACTACTCGCAACTTTCGGCGAGAAGCTGCTAACGCTCAATTTAGGCCTCCGGTGTATGAAGAAAGCCTGTGATTGACTTGTAGTCTCCTGGACGCTGTTCGAATTCTGTCGGTCCATCGCCTCGGCTGAAGTGCTTGAGAAACTGGTCCCGAGGCCTGTCGTGCATGTTCGTTGCTGGACTAACAACCATCATCCGTAGGCTCCTTTGGCAAGTTGAAGCTCACTACCAACAAGTCAAACGGAAGCTCGGCAGACCTTACTTCATCTGGTTGGCACAGCGTTGGCCGTAGCTGGTTTGTGTGGCGAACCCAGGTCTGTGTCCCCACGAACGCTTCAAACATGACATTCTTGCGCTTGCTTTTGATCCTACCAGGTGTCCAACTTGCGTGAACTGCCCGATAGTCCCGCACTAGCACTGTCTGCTTTGGCATAAACGATCGTTGCTTAGCCCCATGCCGCCGGTTAAACACCCGTTCCATTTTGCGGTTCTTTCCGCCAAGGGAGGGCAGCGGGCTTGATGGAATGGCATGAAATGGCATACGCAGCTTTCTGTTTCTCATTGCCTGTACTGGCGAGACTCCACCCGGCGCTTATGGGCTTGGTGTTGATCGGTATAGGAAGAGGAATCGGTCAATCACCTCCTCTGTACGTCCTTCCCCCTTCGCTTTCAGGAGAGCTCACTTACAATTATTCACGAATCCCGCTGCCTAGCCATTCGATTGTAGGTGAAATGGCAGTGAGCGGACGTGCTGGACGGCGCATTGTCTGCAGAACTCTGTGAAAAGTGCTGTTGTGTACTGTGTGCCGTTATCAGTTACAAGTGTTTCTGGACAACCAAATCTGGCGAAGATTTACCTTAGTTTTGTCCCGGTTGTTTCGGTTGCGTCGATGTATTGTCCATCAGGAACACTTCAGGTCATTTGCTGTAAGAGTCGATAGCGGTGCGAAAACTTTGGCCGTTGACTGGTCCTGCGAAATCGACGTGGACGGGGCACCATGGTCGCGTTCGTTTCGACCATGAATGGAGTTCCATCTTTACTGGTGCCCTTGAAGCAGTAGCACACTTGTGGCAACTTTTAGTCATTTCATCCAGTTGTCTGTCCGTGAACGGTCAGTACACAGAGCTTCGGACAAGCGCCTTCATCCGGTTGACAACAGGATGTCTAACGTGGAACTGCCTAAGTACGAGCTTTTATAATGTCTTTGGGATAACAAAGCGTTTCGAGAACAATATGCAGCCGTGAACGTTGAAGACTGAATGCCTCCTTTGGTAGTGCTGCCGCAGTTCGGCTGATGAACATGTACGTGGCGAACTGGTCCTGTTGAATTGTGCAACCACCTTGAGTACCGGGTCACCAAGCGTTTCTTCTCGTACAGATTCTGCAGCCATTGGTAGGTCACGTACTGCGTCCCGCACAAGAAATCTGACTTCCGGTACAAGCTCAACTGCGGCTATGATCTTGTCTTCTTGGACTTTCTGATGGGAGTCGATGAGACGTGACAGCGTCTCCGCTTGTCCACTAGAAGCGGTTGTTTGATAACTGATCTCAAAATCTTAGTTCGGCAGAATGAGAGCTCAGCTTTGGGAACGGTTCGCCGTGTAGGCAGGGATGCTATTCTTCGAGCCGAAAGATGGCCAGCAATGGTTTGTGAGTACCTTGAATCGGCGGCCATATAGCATTTTATGGAGTTTGTTCACTCAACAGATTATGGTTAATGCATTTTTCTGTTTGTATGTGGTTTCGTTTGGCTTTTGTCAAACTCCTGGCTGCGTGTGCGATCCCTTTCTGGAATCCATGCGGGTACAAATACGAAATTAACTGCTCCGATCCCGTGCTTCAATGCGTCTATCGCGAGAATGAGCTCCTGAGTTAAGTCATAATGAGTCAACAACCACTCTGAAGCCAGTAATGACATGATTCATTTAAAGGTGCGCTGACACTCTTGCGTCCACTTCCAGGCGTGGTCTTTGGTCAAAATCCTGTTCAGCGGTGCACACAGGCGATGCAGCACAGGCAACAATGCGCTGTAGTGACTGGTGAGACCACAGAAGGAACGTAGCAATTGAATATCTGCTTTTGGAGGCATCTTCCTTATGGCTATGATGTTTACCGGATCTGGTCGACGGCCATTCTTTTCATGGATAAAACAGGTATTTAGTGGTCGGAGTAAAGAAAGTATATTTATCTTCACGAATCCGGAAACCCTAATACTGGATACGACAAAGCACGTTTAAGCGGTCAAATAATTCATCCGTTGTTCGGCCCATTACGATAATGTCATCCCGGTATCCGGCGGCTCCAAGAATTCCTACCAACCTGGTATCCATCAGCTGTTGAAAAATGGCTGGGGCCGTTTTTACGCCAAAAGGCAGGCGATTGTACTGGCACAGCCCACAGTGAGTGTTGATCGTCAATAACTTTCGATTCCTCGGCAACATCTACCTGAAGATATGCATCAGCCAAATCAGGCTTTGCAAAGCACCTGCAACCTTCCATTTTTCGAAGATATCTTCCGGTTATGGCAATGGGTATTGGTGGTTGACTAGCGCAGCTTAAGACCGGTTGAGAAATCTGCGCGGACGCGTACTTTGCCATACGTTTTCTTTACTGCGACAATGGGTGCGGCTCATGAAGCATAGTATGCAGGTGTGATGATGTCAGTTCTTTCTAGTCGCTCCAGCTCTTGCTCAACGATTGACATCACTGCATACGGGACCGGACGTTTAGCTTTAAAGACTGGCTTGGCTTCCGATCGCCTGAACAGCGTCGCTGTGAATTTGGTGCAATGGCCTAGGCTATCTTAAAGCACAATGCCAAATTTTTCTTTCAGCAGACGTGTCATCTCTTCGACCAACTTCGTTGATGCGTCTGGATTCTCTAGGATTTTATTGCAAATCTGATTCATTGGAGCATCGAGAAGTGGCAACTTTTCAATCCGTTCTGGGCCTATCTGATATGTAAACCGTCCCTGTTTCTTCCACACCGTTGAATTCCATTGTGCAAGTAATTTCTGCGATTAAGTTGAGCACACTCCCAGAAGCGTTGTGAGCTATTCTGTGAAAATTCAGGAGTCTTGACTTCTTGATGTGATTTCAAGTGTTCCTGGAAGTGATTGTGATGTATAAGGCCGTGTCATCTTGCAGCTTCGCTAGGATACCGTTGACTGACACAATGATGAATCGCTGTCGTGGCTTTGGTTCACGTTGCTATACGGCGTAACGCCGGTTGTAACAAAACTACTGCTCTGTTTTCTCGTTCGTCGCCTCACTACGAAAGGTGAATCTCGGATTAGGGAAGAGTAAGCAGATTTCTGCTCTGGACAGGACTGCACAGACCGCATATTCACTTTGCGGAAGCTGCTACAGCTGCTCCACATATATCGCAGACCAACAATAGCTGTGTTCCTGGACTCCAATGGTGCGTTTGATTCGGTCGATCGATGCATTCTGTTCGAAATACTTATGCGAAAAGGTGTTCCCACGACGTATGTGAACATTTTACGTGCTCTATACTCGGACACTGTAGGCCGCGTCAGTTCTACGGGGATCTGTCGGATAGCTTTCTGACAACAAGTGGCGCTCGTCAGGGTTGTACGATTTCCCCATTTTGTTCAATTTCGTCGTGGACTCCATCATAAAGTATTCCCTTACGGGTCATCACGATTCTGACGTTTAGGTCCTGCCTGGTGAAAGGTTAGTTGATATTGATTATACCGACTAAATCTTCTTGCTGTTTAACTATGTTGGGGCGGTGTAATCAACCCTGAATAACCTCTCTAAAGTGGTCCTTTTATTTGGTATGCGCTTCTCGCCTTCAAAATGCGAAGTGTTGTTGCAGGACGGCCAGGCATTTGATGACCCCTTGACCCTTGCTAGCGAAGAACGATGGGCGCATACCAACTGGAGTCAGTTCATGCATCGCAAAAGCCAGAACGGTGTTTTTGAAACACTGGCATCTTTGACGACAGAAGGGCATTTCTCTCCGTCTGAAAGGCCATGTTTACGTGGCCACAATGAGGGCCGTTCTAAGCTATAGGACTGAGACTTGACCCCTTCAGTCTGATGATATGAGGTGCCTTCAAGTCTTAGATCATCGTTGTCTGCGGAGGATCGCTGGTGTCGGGTAGCACCAGCATGTCCGCAATGATGAAGTGCGTCAGTGAGTACTAGGCAATGATAGCCAGGAGTTGTCTTATTGGACACCACTCCAAGCCTTTGGCTAAAGAGCCTACCTGCAAGGCAACGGAGCAAATTCATGGAATCGATTGGGAGCATGTGACGCATTCGGTCAACCCAACCCACGCTTTTGCAGTGGTCGCGCGGTAGCAAAGCGTCGATACGACGTGCTGGTTTACCACTGCTGTCTTGCTTTTCTTTTCGTTTGCATTCCTCCATCTTTCTTCTTTCACGTTATTGGCACTGCGGGGATCGCAAATACCGGATACGTGGGCGTTATTTGGTTGACCGGGTGTACATTGGGTGTTCCGTTTTTGGGTTCAACAAAAATAAAAAACCCTGGTTATCCCCGGTACAACGACACAACTTAAAACACTCTCAGGATTTTCCTACCTTTTCACTCTCATTTGAATTCACGCTACCCTGAATATTCATTCAGGTATCATCGTAGGCTTTCAAAGAAATTGTTCGATAACTGTTCACGGCCAACTGTTCTTCGTTTAATCATGGATCTCCTTACTTTAATTTACTACATCTGCTAACACTGACCAGTGCGTCCACCGGTCCTCTGTTAACTGGTAAATCGGACGGGGATTTATCGCAACTGTTTAGAATCGGAGCTGTATAACGTAACATTCTGTGTAGTTCTTTTTCATCTAGTTGCTGTCCAACCACTATGATCAGCACTGTTGTTTCTTTTTCAGTCTAACACCTTAGTGGTGAACATTTTTGAATTATGTGGTACTGCAGTTTTCACTCAGTTCAAGGCGTCAACGGTCAGCCAGCATGTAGTGATGGTTTCCGTGATTAATCCCTTTGCATTATGTCTGACCGTCTATCCAGATTAGAAGCTGCTGCCGCGAACATTCGCAGGATACCACAACCCTTTCAACCAACGTAAGTCACCCTTCGACTCCATTCATTCGCAATACATTTTTCTAATCTGCGTGATTAACGCTGCCCTGCCTCTGATCTCTTTCTTTTGCGCAGTCTAGCGCAGTCGCGGAAAACAAAAGTCGAAATTAGCCAGACTGGAGTATGTTAAGGACAATGTATACTTCAATTTATAGGTCACACTTCATCTCCGACTGTACGCTACTAGACCGCTTGACTTCACCTGTCTATTAACGTGAACATCCTCGTGGTCTCCATTATTTGACTGCAAGCCCACTCATGCCTGCATCACAGCCACCCGTGTCATTATGACGGACTGACTTACTTCAGCTGCCCTAGATCACGCAGCAACCTGTCGTGGATCGCGACATTATTTCATCAGTTTTCCGTGTGGACTGCTGCGAGCCCCCTTCTCGTCTCGAAATCGTGTCACTGCTTTCCTCCGTTACGACCGCCTAACCTCTCTCCTTTCCAATTACGTTTTCTTGCATATTGTTCGAACCTTGCTATGTCCATGGCTTATGGCCTTAAGAACAACTTGCATTGATTGTGGTCATCACCGCTTTCTGGTCGTCTTAAATTATGCGTTTCAGGTGCTTGCAGCTTTTGTTGTGATCCACGTAACCGCTCGCATTCTTGCTTCATGATGGATATGTCTAACAGAATGTCCCACTGCAAAGCTGTTAACTCTAGAGCTTTGGGTTTTGCCGTGGTTCGGCCTGCTCCACCTCTCACTTCTAACCATTGGCTCGTAGATAACACTACCCTTCTTGCTGATAACATCCCTTCTCGACCATCTTCCTGGATTTCTGAAATTTTACGCGTAAACCATACCACCAGCTGTCGTGCTTTTCGTTCCTGGCGTACCGCCCCGGACGCCTCTATGAACACTGTTTAAACGTCTGGTTTGAGGTTCGGGTCAGCACTGGCTGTTCTGCCGCATCCAAAACCAGCTTGGCGTCCTTTTCTCTCTGTAATTAAACTTCGAAGCACCTGGCCTGAAATCGATGGCTGTAACGGCTATTTGACTTGCGGTGGCTAGCATATACTTTTTACTGGCTGACCAAGCAGTCTTGGCTCATTCACACAGTCATTCCAGCAAATTCAAAGTCGGTTGGTCTGTCACGAGACACGTGGATTTGCTGATATATCTAGTCAAGTTGTGACCTCGAAATGGTATGGCATTGTTTCGCTTTCTTCTGATCAGCATAGGACGATCTGCCGAACAGCGCGATTTCTCATGACATTTTCTATCGGAACGATTGAGAATGTGGTTATTGAATGAGCAGCCTCGAGCAAAATACCATTTTCCACAAAACCAACAGACAGAGGGAGGTTTGGAATGTGAGAGATTCCCGTGAACAGCTTTTTGGGGAGTGCGGCTGACTGTGCAGATATAGTCATCCTCGTCCGGGTTAAAAAACTACTGAATCTCTTGAAGTATCATACTTCATGCTCTCCATCCTTTGCTATTCACTGATCACTTGCTGTAATGTGACGTCAGGATTATGTTCAATTTTTTCAGGAATCTGGTCCGAATCTCGGCATCTTAGGCTGCTTGTACACCACAAACGTATATAAGGCACTTGTATTGGTCGCCTGTCATCTTGTGTAATTGTGACCGTTCGCACTCACAATTTACATGGCTCGGATAGCTAACCTAATCTTCGTTTTCTTTCTTGACCTATTTTAAGGATACTTCCTAAAATGTGATTTAAGGTATTAAACTATCCTATTATTCATAATTTATTCGTTTGTAATTATTATTTCGAAATTATTTTGGCCAGTCCAAGTTTACTTTTGAAAAGAGCTTTTCTTGGCTGATCACCAGAAGCGGGTAAAATGAAAAATTCAAATTAGTCAGCGCACTGTAAGTATTTATTCGCTGAAATGTGACAATTATTTACTATATTTGTGTTGTTGTGTGCCTAGAGCACATATGGTTGGTGGCATACGGTTTCGGATTTGCTTGTCACTGTGGCAAGCCACAGGACGACTTCGCCTACAGAGGGACCATGGATGGCTTGCGCTGCACCACCCACAGCTCCAACCACACACCCCATATCCAGTGTAAACCCGAAGGAATAAGACCGGGAGGCATGTGGATGGGAGCCACGTTTCATCAACGGAGCCGGCCCACACTCCTTCACAGACAAACACAAGCACCCTGTATTTGGGAATCAAGCGCACACAAGGCAGTGGCTGGATCGTAGTCCGCTCCACACTGAGTGCATGGAACCACTCTTTGATCCTAACACGGCCACAAGGACCGTGCACCCCATCCCCTCCAGCAACGACCAACTGTCTCCTGGAGCCAGTATGAACGATGTAGTGGGTAATAGACAGGTAGGCACCTTGTCAACATGCACATCAAGCGCAGCCACACCGGGGATATCAAACAACAGCCAAACACTTGAGAGAGAGAGAGGGAAAGAAAATAACTCGATTGATGCATACGGAAACGGTGACATAAACCTTAAGTTAATGAGCATATGTAATAAGTTGTTTACAAACGAATCCTAGATAAGTTCACGAGGTGAGAAAGTATACTATACGGAAATGCCACGAACACAAAATTGTTATGGAAATCGAATACAGTTGGCTTAAGCGAGGTGTGCAAGTTAATGGAATAGGGTACAAGTAGACATTTATATGAGAAAAAAAGCATTAAGGTGAAATTGAAAACCCACCACCTGAAATAAAGAGACTTAGCATGCAAGCACGCGGTTAGTAAAAAGAATGCAGCGTATGTACAGACGCTGCACCGGTTTTGAATACTTCTCTGCAGGACCCGTCGTCGCTTCTGTAATGGTCCCGAGTGGCCTCGCTCATGGCTCCCTAGACACAAATACCCACTTATATACTCATTAAAATGCGTGATACTTATTGAATCCATGAGCTGCAACTATCTCTTCTATTTTAAGAACGCCAGCAACAAATGTTACCTTAAGATGTAGCTTGGGATAAGTAGATTATTGATAATATGATTAAGAATATGCCCGTACTTTATAAAAATACCGATATGCTCATACTGTATCGGTTTGAAACATTTGGGATTGTAATAACATGCTTTTTCCTTTTTAATATCCTTTTTCTTATTAACTTTGTACTTTAACTATATTCCAATTAGTTAAATTTGTTTCTTCAACAGGAGTCTTGAATTGTATTATGTAAAAAATCTTATCACTACGATAGAAAAAGCTGACGGCAATATTTACATTACGCCTCCGGGTTATGGGCAAAACTGCGGAAAGTGATATCAGTGAAATGATTCAGCGAGGCATTTACTCATTGACGCTGAGGCTAACTTTGCATTGCCTCATGGGTCAATACTTATAATCAACATGGAGGGCGAACCATCCCAAGTGGAACTATAAAATAGCACAAAGGATATGAGAAAGCTGCTCCCATGCTTGTTTCTCCAATAATACTCCAAATGGTACCAGACTTAGAGTATTTAAGAAAGAGGGCATATCTAGGAACACAGATTCAGTGGTAATGGTTTGAATGTGCACTTGATTTCTTAAAGGAAGAACTTACACCGTATGAATCTTTCAAACGTTTCTTTACTAACTGATATTGGACCCATGATAAGGTAGACAATTGATAACTCCCATATAAAAATAGCTCCTGATTTAATATAATTAGGGCTGGAATGCGTGCTTTTCTAACTATTCTGTTTATCTCTGACTCTAATACATTACCACAAAGGCACATCCATTGGGGTCCTGAACAACATATCCACAGTGCAGCCATCTGTCAAACAATGAATCGGAACAGATTTGACACAATCATGAAGTATCTCTATCTGGCAAACAACGACATTTTCCATACACATGACAAAGTTATAGACGTACGACTACTTTATAGCCTTAATGAAATATTTATGACATTCCTCCCCATGGAAGCATTTCTGTGCATGAATGAAAGCGTAGTACCATAATGCAGCCGTCATGGACTAAAAGAGTGTATCAGAAGATAGCCTATATTCGGGTAGGGTATGCTGCCTATCTAAACCTCTACCAAGGAACTCAGGCCAAACATTACATGACATTAGGTTTTGGAAATTGCATTGTTATGGGTTTAGTAGATAATCTCACGATGGTGCGTCCCTATTATATCACTCTTAACGATTCTTTTACAGACTCGCTGCTCATGAAAGCCTTAACCAAAAAGGTGTAAGAGCAATGGGGTCAGTTCGATTAACTGGGAAAGACAACTCCCCCATCGATACAAATGCCATGCAAAAGCTAAACCAACGCACTTATGAATACAGGTTTTGTCATGTATTGATAACTCCATTGTGATACTTCCGTTGTGACTCTTGCCAGCAAGTCTGTTGTTGCATGTCCTCTGACAAAAATAGAGAGGCGGTCGGCAGATGACAAAAGTTCATACTTATTGAAGAACCTAGTATTGTTAGTGTTACCAACGTCCTATTCGGTTTCGACTGTCCTAATCGGAACGGACGAACTCTTTCACTCGTTAGTTCCCATGCGCACAGTAGCTTAGACGATTCGAATTAGAACGGCTTGTGGACGTAGCGAAAACCACCTGCACATGAGAAAGCGCAGCATGATATGCTTACCTTCAAATGGGTTGGCGTGTCTCAGAAATAAATGTCTCACGAAATCTTTTTACACCCAGCAGCAAATGACAAAAATCTAGTCAGAATTAAGAAATCTTACTCTGGACGCAACTTGAAATCAATGCCAATGCCAAGATGCCGTCACTTTGAGATGAAGGCTAATCCACCCTACCCAGTGTGCGATGCGCCACCACATGAAGTATCCTCTAGGGCATACCACGCATGAACATTGGAATACTTTTTGTACACGTATGGGCTACATATACTTTTATGATGGATAACTGTTGTTTTATATTTTTGAAGGGAATATTAAACATTAGCAATTCAAATTCGCAAACGATTGTGTATTAGCGGTTTCATGTCACGGTACCATTTGTCGCTAGCGTCCCTAAAAGAAGTCTGTTAGAATAATCATGTTTCCTAAAATAATCCAAATTTTCAAAATCAAGTGTGTGTTTTTCCACCATTTTCTATAGCAAAAGTAACAAGGGAGAAAATCTTATGTTCCACCAGAAAATGGGTTAGTCATCGTCAAACACTTGTACCGGCTGTTTAACAGAGACGCCTGTTCCCCAAATATTTGTGATGAAACTGAGCCGACTTAATCAAACGGTAGATCGGTTCTCTTTTTAGACAGGACAAAACTTACGAACTTTTCATGTTCTGCTGCACCCAGCTTCTGGAGTGTAAGTCCAATTTCCTTCATGCCTGTGGAACCCAAACTTGAATATTGAACTGGCCTCAGCATCATACTGCTAGCCCTGCGCCGGACTGTATTGACGGCTTCTGTGTCAACCTGTCGGTCAGCTTGGTCTGCGATTTTTCAAACTGTGCCTGCTGTTGCTGCTATTTCTCGAAGTTGTTTGTCATTGTGTCCGGTCGAAAATCTTCGCCACTGTTATAGCGCTGCGCTACTCTTGCCCTCTCTCTTGTGCACCGTCCAACCCATCCGGAGAAAACATAAGACAAATTTTGTCAGACATTGTATAGTTAAATTTATAGGTTACACGTCCTCATCTCCCACTGTACGTTGCTAGGCCGATTGATGTCACCTGTCTATTCACGTGCAAGCATGCTCCCGGTCTCCATTATTTGCCTACATCCTGCACCATAGCAACCAGTGTCATGATAGCGGTGTCATGATGGCTGGATTAAGTAGCAACCAGTCGTGGATTGCGAAATTATTTCATCACTTTTCCTTGTGACCTGTTGCGGACCCCCTTCTCGTTTTGAAACCGTACCACCACGTTCGTCCGTTGCGGCCGCCTAACAGTGGAGTTGCTGCTTTTCAGAACATGAGTTATTCGGTTCCACACAGGTTTCGCTCACGGTTTCCAAGGTAGCCACTATAACACTTCACCTTCCGTACGACGCGACGCTACTGCACTACATGTGTCTTCGACCCCTGGCTTGGTACCACTCGTGGTGTTTATTCAGGACCACAGTTATCAGCAAGAATACTGCACTTCAGCGTGGTGAGATCCCCGTTTTCAATTAGAACACACTGATTGACACTTTGTTTGTTTCTTGGCATCCATTCATACCAGAGTGTAATTCCTAGAGGTTTGACGAACCTGGTTGAAACACCGTCATCGTAGGCTTGGGGTAGTCCATGGCCCTAAGGTATAATAACTTTGCTAGGTTATAAGCTTTACTCAGTTGACACATAGCACGACTACCACATGTTGTCTCTGTCATCGGTTGCTGGCCTGTTTCCTCACCTTGAGACACACCACTCATGTTCTCTGCTTCTCAGAAGCTCAGCTAAATGGTAACTCTAGGCCACGCACCGATCCTAATGACATTTATGAGCGTTCACTGCAATTAGCTGCAGAGCATTGATAGTTTTTAGCAGTGCTGCTTTTTGACAGCGGATGTCGATGGGTTGCTTGGCTCCCTCCTGTTGCTCGTCTGAAATTGACTCAATTAAAGCACATTGCTTGTAGTTTCCGATTGTCTCGGACCCTTTATCGATTCGCTGTTTTGGGATATCTTTGTGGACTGACCATGCATCTGTACGCTGTAAATTTTGCATTAACGTTTCCGGTACTCGTGCCAAACATTTTCCTCCATTGGTAGCTGATAACTTATCGCAGTTCTTGATCAGTGAGGCCGACCAGGATGACTTGAATATCAACCTTTCACCATCTTATCCTAAAAATAGCGCACTTCATTGGAGCATTATCTCGGTCGCCATGCTCGTTGTTGTAGCTTTTGCATGCGACACTTATTACTCTCCTCGGTGATCACCGGATATCCGGGAGGTCCGGGAATCTTTTTAAATCCAAGCAGAAATCCATGCTGGCACCAAACCCAATGTAATCAGATTGACTATTAGGCGCTAACTGAAGTAGAGTCTGTTTACTGACTAGGAACTCTGGTGGACCCGAAACGCTCAAGAAACGGTAGAGACGGGAGCAGGGGCCAATTACCTCTGACTCTTAAGACTGCTCTGCACTACGTGTCGCAGATATGTCGCGATCAACAACAGCACGGACGTCCTACCTCACAATAAGAAATGCCTTTTGGCTCGTCGAGTAGAGCACATCCGCGTGCAGTTCGGTTGGCTCGCCGCTCCTGGATCTTTTTATGCTCAAGTGATGCAGATCGAATCATGGTCTGTTGGTCTCTTGAGCGATCCCAGGTTTCACTTGTTTTGGCGCTGTTGCCTCGGGCTCTCTTGCACCCACACTATTTGGAAATGCCAGTATATTTATTTACATGGCAGTTATTTACCCGTTCAGAAAAGATATGGATGGAAGAGGCCACCCCAGCCAACTGGAGTAAATCGACCATAGCGACAGTATGTAAGAAGGATAGTAGCGTCGTTTGTCCTAACCACAAGGGCAGCAGTTTGGAGTCAATGGTGGCACATAGGGCTAGTGACCTCACTTTTGTGCCTAACTCCTCCTTCCTGTTTGCTGCTTACATTTTAGGCATATAATATGTCTATTTTATACTACATTGCGATCTAATCCACCCAGCTGATCTAGTCGCATGCTTAATCCGATCTCATTTTTATATGTGACTCACAGCAGCGTTGGATCAGAGTGCTTTGTGGTTGCTGTGCTACTCCCGACCTTCTATCATTTATCTTCCCCTCTTTCTGTTGCTCTTGTGAAGATTGACTGGTCCCACAGCTGTGCGGAAAATATACCATAAGCAAGATGATGCCCTACGTTTCGCGGAGCTATTCGGATCAGTAAGTGCATGAAGCTATACTGTTCCACCAACTTGACAGTTCCACACACCTCGTTGTGGATGCGTACTATTGTTGTTATTCGTATAGATCTGGCGCTTCCTCTGCTGTTTTCCTCGTACCTGTTGTTCTTGATCAACACTGAGAACTGCTGTTCCCACTGCACAGCATTATATGATTCTTCATTCAGAAATGTGCTGGCAAACTCAACAAAAACTTTTTACTTCAGCGACTGGGAAAACGGAAAGGGCAACCAGCGACTTCAGCTGTAGTTTACTATTGACATCTGTTTCAGAAGCACTTTTTAGGCCGACGTTGCAGACTTTTCTGAGGATGCTTCGGCACAGGTGGAAATAGCACCCTTTATTTCTGCGTCGCGAAATGAGAATCTCTCAGTGTTAATAGAAGCCTTCTCAAAATCGATTATCACCTTTATTGGTATCAAACCCAGTATCAGTAGTTTCATTATTTCAAACATCCTCGTATAGGTCTAGATATTATTTTCTGCAACAGGCTGTAAAGGCAAGGGGATAGCTGTTACTCACTTTAGTGTGCCAACCTGTTGGAGACTTTATCAAAACTTGCGTCCATGTATATTGTATCTGTGCACAATGCAAGTATAAGTTCTTTATCACCTAATCCCAGAATCCTTTCTGGATCATCCACATCTGAATCATGTAGAATTAGCCCGGAGTACTGCTCATGAATAGCAAAATTGGTGCGTGTTGAACAAATCAATTGACCGCTTTTTCGGTAACTCGGAAGAGTTCTTGCAATCGATGATTATTTGGGCAAGTGGGCCAAACCTTCACTACTCAGTGCAGACAACCCATTTCCCATAACTTTGCGAGGTGCCGCTCTGACTGCCCTCATGACTAGTTTTATTTGGCTTCGTGCAGCATTGACTTCCGCTTTTTGCTGACATGAGTCATGACAGTGAGCAGTCGGCTGTTGCGAAATGATGCTGTCTCGTGTCTTCATCAGTGACTGAAACTTCACACTTCGGTTTTGCCTGCATCTCCAAGTTACCACTCCTTCGGTAGTGCGGAAAGTGAGATATTCAAACCCCAAATATGTCAAAACTAAGTTGCCATCCTGACTTCTGGAGTACTCCATAGGTAACAGTGCAACGAGAAACGGCGACGTGCGTTGCAGCCCACTTAGCAGATCGCGTACTCGCGTCAACCGTTCACAGAGAACCAGTGGATTAACTTGGTTAGGCCCACAGTGCAGCGCCATTGGCAAAACAATGGCGATTCAAGGTAATTTAGTGCTGTCCCGCCTCCTGCTCTGCGGCCGCGGTCACCGACCTCATCATCGCTAGGCGACACCAGCGACGAACTCCTTATGCTTACATGGTGTGGGTTTCACCCGCAATTTCGTTGCGGCTTCGACAAACTCAAGTTTATGAGCAATGTCAAGTCTGTTACGTGTGTTTTATCAATCACACTCCATTGCGGGTGTACAGTCTATGCACCTATGCTGGGCCCAATGAGTGGTTCCATGTAGCATGCTATGTTCGATACGCGGCTGCTTTACAGCTTCGACAGGAACGCTGTGTATATTAAGGAAGTGGGTGTCGGCTCCATCACCTTTGAGAGCACCGGGAGGAGAATCACTGGGCGATAGGTGGTGGGCTCTGAACGGCTACCACTCTTGAAAATCGGGGTGATGATGCCCTGCTTCCAAATGTTAAGGACCCGCTGTCCGTCCAGGGGTTTTTTGAAAAATCTCGTTTAATGGTTCAGATATACTCGTAGCTGCCATCTTTAGTTCTTTCTGATGAACGATAGCAGCTTTCTCAGAATGGTGATTACCATTCATTTGCCTCCCCGTCTTCTTCCTACTGATGTACACCGGATATGGACTGAGGGAATGCAGCTACGGGTGGTGCAGCCCAAGCCATTCGTAGTCCATCTCACTAGGCGCAGGTATCCTGTGGCTGTCCACGTGAGGGCATAGCAGCAAGCAGAACCTGGAACGCACGCAACCAGTCAGGGTTCACACTGGTTTAGACATGCATGCGTGGTTATAGTTGTCCATTCTTGCGGTTGTGATATTTATGCGAGGTCTACTCTTTTGTGGAATATGAATAGCTTTTGCACCGTCAATATGAGTAAACGTTTGCCTGTATTTTTAGAGCCATTGGTAACATATTTATGTTTTGAGCTAAGGTGGGTTATACAGTGATGGTTGGGATTGTTAAACTGATAAACAGGCATTCTTAAAGAGGAAAAACTTCCGCTCAATCTGAAGATCGGACAAAGCGCTGGAAATGTGTCCAATTAATCCTCTTGAATGCAACGTTGTATGAGCGGCTGTGGTGTGATATATATTCCCGTACCGAAGATAAATCTTATTATCTCGTGGTCACTACCATAAATAAGTCCAGCAGATCGTCTTTTGCGTCGTGCATTACTTCTGACGCAGACGTCCTGTCCTATTGAGGCCGCAGTGACAAGCAAATCTGGACACGGATGCTGCCAATACATAAATAATATAGTCATATTTGACCATGTTACCAGATCGCCAACACTTGTTTACTCTTTGTGTGCGCATTTTTCCGCGTGCACAGTCTTCGAGTGCGTTTTTATGTTCGTGCACCTCTCGCTGTGCGCAACTTTCGTGTTCGCTTTCTAGTGGTCCACACTTCAACAATGTCTTTGAATAAAAGAGACGGACGCACTCAGTCAGCCGTCACAACAATAGGGCATCAATCTGGCGTGTCCAAGTCATCCTTGAGCCAGTTCTGTCGCCTGTCTGATCTAGGCGTGCACAAACGAGTCAATCAGGAGACCAACAGATATTCGTCTAACCACATCAAGTTAAATACAAACTGAATGGGCGGTATGTACACCCTACAGACATCGGTCTGTCCTGACCTCAATGGTGAAGACGCGAGGCGAAGTGAAGCATGGGGAATCATGTAGTAAACAGGGCAGTTAATGGTTTGCTGTGTGTCACCGATCAGAGGGTAGCTGAATCGAAGATCGATGCGGGAATCGGACAGTAGACGAGATAGTGTGTGGAAGGCAACAACTACCAGAAAAAGATTTGAAAAGTAGAGCATGAATCAGAAAAAGAACTAACGAAGCTGGTGGTGTGGCAAATATATGTTTGGCATGTAAAACAACTAACTAGAGGACATGCGTGAGACATTCAGTGTGTGAGATCATCGAGGGGAACTGGGAGAATTGGAGCAATGATTGGGGCTTGGGAAAGAATGATTGCACTTGATCAAATGTGCGTGACACTGCCCCGCGAAATCTGTCCCGGATTTTCTGAAGGTTGAAGACGACATGTTCTGTCTTGGATCGCCCTACGCCAGCTCCGTCCGCTATGGGACATCACAGGACTTACACTGTTAGAGCTGATTTCTCCCACTTCGGCTGTTTGACTCACAGTGGTCCTCCCTGGACCAGCAGACTAAAGACCACGTTCAACCACCGGTGCCTTCGTTATTTAGCTCACATTTGGTGGGAACACCGCGTGAGCAACGAGCGTGTTCGACGCCTTTTTTATGGCACAGGAAAAGGAAATGAACCGCTCAGCACTGTCATTTCACGCACCAGACTCCGATGGCTCGGCCACGTGTTACGCATGCCAGCCCACCGACTCCCGCGACGTGTGTTGTTTGCGCGCCGGGGGTGTGGGAGGAGGGGTAGTCAAGCGATGACTTTGTCGAGAGGAATGAAGGCCCTCACTTCTGAGCTGGTCTCGGTTGGAGCGTCTCGGCTCCCTGGTTGGGGTCCGAAAGACGATGAACACGTTTGGTTGGACACACTTGCTGATATGGCTAGGAGCCGACATCAGTGGCGTTCGTGCTGTGAGTTTCTTTGTCCCACCCCATCCCTCTTAGCCTCCCCCTCCAACCACGATCTCATTACTTAGCCTTTTATAATTTTGCGTAGTGCTTTTTTTGGTGCACAGCAGCCGGCTGGTAGCTTACCGGAACGATGCCCATCCGTTACCGGTAGCTCAGCCAGCTTGCACCAGTTGCATTTTTTCTGCTTTTTTCTATGTATTGCAGCACAGTAGCTGAGGTGTTCCCCACCTCTAGCTAACGTGTATGATGATGATGATGATGCTGAGACTAAAGACCCGCCTCTCATCTGCGGAGAGCCAACAGCCGGAACTCTATCTTCACCCGTATCACCTAGCAAACCGCGCTTACACAGGTCTCTTTCTAAGAACCTATTTTTCTCTTTGACTGCAGTCTTTAAAACGACGTATTTCTCTACACTTGAGTGGTTAGACAAATCTGGGAGACCCCCAGGATCCCGCTTGAATAACGTGGCCACCATCTCATTCAGTAGCAAGAAGCCAGTATCTCGGGTGGTGGGATGGGGATCATTTGGAAAGTCTAACTGTGACTTCTTCTCGCCGAGTGGTTGGATAGCGTCCGACTCTGATCTATACCAGAGAGAGATGATGAACAGTGCACCAAGCATGCCACGGTGCAACTCCTCCGGGAGCTACTAACGCAATGATTAAACCTCGGAGCGAAAGCCTATACGAGCGCATACTTCATGGGCATTATAATTTACCTCACCAGCGAGTCTCCCTAAGATGGTGTGCATGGCAGTGTTGAATTACGATTGTAGGGGGAAGGATCTCACCGGTCGCATGCCATTTCAGTGTATAGCCAGTTTGCAGTTGCTTTCTTGATACCAGAACTGCGTATCCTCTTGCTTTGCATATTTTCAATGCCACCGTGTATCTTTCACACAATGCCAGATCATCCGATAGTGCTCGGCTCAAGCAGTGCAATCTACGAGGAGGTGACCCATAATTACTAGGGGTTTTTGCCGGTCGATTTTTCCAAAGGGGAGCTATTTCGTAGTATCCCTCCACGATTGGTACAGATTTCTCCCTCTATCGAGAGAGAGAGAGCGGTTGCTCTAGTCGACACTCTCCAACTCGTCTTGCGAGTTATCATCCACGCATATGATTTAAAAAACGCAGTACTGGCCGCTCATGCTCCCAGGCCGCAATAATATTCA